CTGCCTCTTCACAGACTTCTACCGACTGTGGTGGTGCTTCGGTACCAGATACAGTGAGGTTCTGCGCCACCACAGAAGCCTGCTGGTTGTAAGACTGGCCCTGATGCTCCTTATCGACATTATTGTTATCAGACGAAGACGAAGAAACACCGCTACACCAGCGGGACTCGCCGCTAGAGCGCCTGTGGCCGGCGCCACGGCAGCGCCTGCGGCTTCATCCGCGAGAGCAGCCGCGGTCTCAGCAGCGACCTCGCAAGCCGCGAGAACAGCCGCGTCCGCAGCAAGGGCTTCCACGCTTCTCTGCTGCTTGTGCGGACACGCGAAGCGTCTGTGTCCTACATCTCCACACTCAAAGCATTTGATCTGTCCCGAGCTAGCGGAGATACCTGCACAAAGCTGTTTCTGATGAACACGCCGCTCTCTATCAGCTTGTGGACATAAGCCTCGCTCGCCACGAACACAACCACAGCTTTATTCATGCGAGATGCAAAGGAGAGTTTGTCATGTCCCACCTGCTCTCCACAGCCAGCAGCACCTCCTCTACTGACACGCTGCTATCCGGTGGAACTACCCGGACTCCCTGCCGGATTGACGGGCGTGGCGTCTCATAGGACGCCATCCTCCCGAACAACGCCAAACACCACTAATCACACGTTCTACCGATAAATACACTGCTTAGTATCTTACCTGCTCATGCGCAGAGACAGAAGAACAGAGGAACAAATCCCAAAGCAGTGAAAGTACAATCAAACCTCTGCGACACTCACATCCACCACTCACAGGTTCACCACTCACACTCACAGGTTCACCACTCACAGGTTCACTACTCGCACTCACACGTTCACCACTCACAGGTTCACCACTCACACTCACAGGTTCACCACTCACAGGTTCACCACTCACACTCACACGTTCACCACTCACACATCCACCACTCACACTCACAGGTTCACCACTCACAGGTTCACCACTCACACTCACACGTTCACCACTCACAGGTTCACACTCACACTCACACGTTCACCACTCACACATCCACCACTCACACGTTCACCACTCACAGGTTCACCACTCACAGGTTCACTACTCACACTCACACGTTCAACACTCACACATCCACCACTCACACTCACATGTTCACCACTCACAGGTTCACCACTCACACGTTCACCACTCACAGGTTCACTACTCACACTCACACGTTCACCACTCACACATCCACCACTCACACTCACACGTTCACCACTCACAGGTTCACCACTCACACTTACACGTTCACCACTCACACGTCCACCACTCACAGGTTCACCACTCACACGTCCACCACTCACACTCACACGTTCACCACTCACAGGTTCACTACTCACACGTTCATCAGTCACAGTCACACTCAGTCACGCTCACACGTTCACCACTCGCAGTCACAGTCACACTCAGTCACGCTCACACGTTCACCACTCACAGGTTCACCACTCACACGTTCACCAGTCACAGTCACACTTAGTCACGCTCACACGTTCACCACTCACAGTCACACTCAGTCACGCTCACACATTCACCACTCACAGGTTCACCACTCACACTCGCACTCACGCTCGCAGTCACGCTCGCAGTCACACTCACAGTCACACTCGCACTCAGTCACACTCACAGTCACACTCAGTCACACTCACAGTCACACTCAGTCACACTCAGTCACACTCAGTCACACTCACAGTCACACTCAGTCACACTCACAGTCACACTCACAGTCACACTCGCAGTCACACTCACAGTCACACTCACAGTCACACTCAGTCACACTCACAGTCACACTCACAGTCACACTCGCACTCGCAGTCACACTCGCAGTCACACTCGCACTCGCAGTCACACTCGCAGTCAGTCACACTCTCGCACACAGTCACACTCGCACTCGCAGTCAGTCACACTCGCACTCGCAGTCACACTCGCACTCAGTCACACTCTCGCACACAGTCACACTCGCACTCGCAGTCAGTCACACTCGCACTCGCAGTCACACTCGCACTCAGTCTCACTTCCCCTGTCGCAGTCACACTCACACTCAGTCACACTCACACTCGCAGTTGCACTCGCAGTCACACTCGCACTCAGTCACACTCTCACTCGCAGTCGCACTCGCACTCGCAGTTGCAGTCGCACTCGCAGTTGCAGTCACACTCGCAGTCGCACTCGCAGTCACACTCGCACTCGCACTCACAGTCGCACTCACAGTCGCACTCACACGCAACCGGAAACAGAGAGGGAAGAGGAGGATGTAAACATGTAAATAGTTTAATAATTATATAACGCGTAGAGCCTATATTTTTTTCCCAACATTATGAACACTTGAGGACACTTGGAGAAATGTTGGGTACATAGATTCCATTGTTTTCTAATTTTGGTTTAAAAAGTCCTTCAACTTGCGTTTTTCTCTTTTGAGTTTATCTGTGACATGTTCGAGTTCTCTTCTTCTCGTCATGATTGTTCTGTTTCCATAGAACTTTATATTGAAGTGAAAATCAAGTCCACCGAGAATAAAATGTGACGGGAGCAAAACCAAAGAAAACGCCCCAAAACTGCTTTAGAGTTCAGAGGGTTAAGGGATGAAATCAGTGAGCACATCCTGCTGACTGTGTTTTCACCACTGACGTCAAAATGATCATCCCTTCATAATCATCTCTAATCCTTCTGTGTGTCTGTCTGTCTGTCTGTCTGTGTCCAGGACTCAGAGTTCAGTGTGACTAAAAGCCCTCCGGTGGACGAGTCGTCCTGCAGACTCTCCTCTGGGTCTCTCTCTGCGGTGGAGAGCAGCACCAAGAGTCTGGCTGGCGTCCTGGCTGCTCTGCCGGCGCCCCCTGGTGGCCTCAAGAGGAAACACAGCGGGGACGGAGGCACGGCCGTCTTCAACCCTCCCTCCAAACTGCCCCGACCTGGTAGGACAATCCGAGTTCATTCTGAGAGAATTACTTCATATGAAAAATGAAATATTATTTTGTCCCTACTTGCCATAAATTCTAAATAATTGATTTAGTTAAAAATAAGAAAGAAATTGCATTTAACAGAAAGCAAAAGCAAGCAAATGAATAATTACAGATTAAGTAGAAGTTTTGTTTCTAATTTATTGGAAAGTAAACGATAACGTTTAAATTATTACATGATCAAGTTAATGTTCAGGACTTTGTTCACAAATACTAAGTAATACTACTATCATTTGTGCGTTTACAATGATTAATGTGTGCAACAGATGTTTGTAGAATGGCATGATGGGATGTTCACAGTGTGATTGTTCTGATTAAACTCTATGATGATGTGTTGATGATGCAGACGAGAGCAGCGTTCAGTCGCTGTTTGTTGGACGCTCGTTCCCTGTGGAGCTGTTGGACAGCGGAGACATGGAGTGTTCACTCTGCATGAGGTGACCACTCGCACAACAAAGTTCTCTAATATCGTTTCCACTCAAAATATTTGTTTCAAGCAGCCGACAGTTTGCATTGAAAATAGGAATATTGAATATAAAATGTAGTTTATCAGACTCACATTTAATTGAACTTATCATAGTTTCATTAAGTTAACGTAATAACTGTGAGAAACACAGTTGTAGTACACACACAAGAACTGCACTTTCTCAAGACACTGATACACGATAATAATACATGATGCTGCAGGATGTCATTCACTAAATGGAGCCGCAGCGTTTTCAGGTTTCTCGGAGTGCTTTGTGTCATTTGTTCCGTCTGTTCTCCAGATTGTTCTACGAGCCGGTGGCCACTCCCTGCGGACACACCTTCTGCCTGAAGTGTCTGGAGCGCTGCCTTGACCACAACTCCAACTGTCCTCTGTGCAAAGAGAACCTGTCTGAGGTACAGGAACACCTCGTTCTACCACTTCATAACAAAGCTCATAACATTGTTAGTGTTGGAGTAGAATCAATGCATCGTTTGTCCAATTAATATGTTCAGAGACGTCACTTTTTATCATTCATTGATTTCTAAAGTCAGTAAAACTAAAGTTTCTGGTTCTACTTCATTTAATGTGAGATTTGTTCTCAGTTTTATATATTTGGAAATGTAATCATTGGACTGTTGGTCCGACAAAACAAACGTTTTAAAGATCACAATTGTTCTCTGTTTTCAGACCATGATAATGACGCTCTCGTATGTAACTGTAACTTATGGGGTGTGTGTGTGTGTGTGTGTGTGTGTGTGTTGTCATTACAGTATCTGGCCACTAGGGGCTACAGCAAGACCCTGCTGATGGAGGAAGTGCTGCAGCGTTATCTAGGAGACGAGCTGGCGGAGAGGAAGAAGATCCACGAAGAGGAGATGAAGGAGCTGTCCAAGTTAATTTCACACACACACACACACACTCTGAAAAATCTGAATACACAAGGTATCATTTAAATCCCTCGTGTAACACTACACCGCTCTAAAATTAAACATCACAGCACAGAAGCTCTATTTTCTGATTTCTAAACTTTCCACCAACGCGTCTCAACAGCCTCCTCACTGTGTCTCTCGCAGCTTGAACCAGGAAGTTCCCATCTTCGTGTGCACCATGGCGTTCCCCACCATCACCTGCCCGCTGCACGTGTTTGAGCCCCGCTACCGCCTCATGATCCGCCGCTCCATGGAGACGGGCACCAAGCAGTTCGGCATGTGCATAGCCGACGAGCTCAAAGGCTTCGCCGACTACGGCTGCATGCTGGAGGTGTGTGTGTGTGTGTGTGTGTGTGTGTGTGTTACGGGATGAATCTGCTCTGCTGTGTGAAGTCAGATCACTTCTGAGATTCTACCAGCGTGAAGACGAAATCAAACTGTTGTTTCAGGTGCGAGACGTGAAGTTCTTTCCCGACGGTCGCTCGGTGGTCGACACTATCGGCGTGTCGCGGTTCAAGGTCCTCAGCCACGGACAGAGAGATGGCTACAACACCGCCAAGATCGAGTACCTGGAGGATAAGAAGGTGTGTTTGTTACTTTAAATCTGCTGCTGTCAATTAAAATGTTGCACAAAGTAGAAAACCTCAGGTGTCAGCCCTGAAGCCATCTCTGTGACAGCTGAGGAAAACTTAATGAATACGTTTTCACTCCGGCGGCATCCTCTGGTTCTTAAAAGTGAAGCCGATGCTTCATGTGTTAAAGCTGCATCCTCTCTAGTGTCCACCAGGGGGC